TTAGGAAATACCAGTTATATCCCCTACTACCCATAAATAATTTACCGTATTTACTCAAATAATTACCCTAAGTAATTATTGTTTCGATCTCTCGCTGGAGGGGGTAATTAATAGGGAGGGGGTAATTATTTGAGAGAGGGCAATTATTATTTCGACCTTTATATTTTTATTTTATCATAGGCATATGAACAGGAATATACAATACGTTACCCAATACTGAGAAAAGTTGTGTTTTAACTTTATTATTCCCTTAATATTTTCCACAAAACGGATTATAACATCAATACTTCCGTCCTGGGATATATGAAGTTTATTCCCGGTTATTCCTGGTTAGAGGTTATTTCTGTTTAGAGGATATAATGTTAATTCTTTTAATATAAATGTCCTCAAAATAGTACTATACCAGCAATACTTCCGTCTTTGGATATATAAAGACACAAAGTCAAGCGAGGATTTAAGGTATTTAAGAGGATTTGGTGATATATAAGGAACAAGGCTTAGAAGGAGTAAGGCTTATACCTCTAAAACTTCTTAATCTCCTATTATCTCTTAAAAATCTCTTAATTCCCTTGATTTCCCTCTTAATCCAATTTATTCCTTGATATTGTCCGGTAAAATGTTATATTATTAAAATTGATTTGATTTTTAATAAATATTTTTAAAATCAGTTGGAAAAATAGGGGGTAATTATTTGAGAGAGGGTAATTAATTGAGTAAATACGGTATACCTGATTGTTTTTTCCATTCGAATATGAATTAGAAATTCGTAAAAATATTTAAAATTATGATATTTTAACTTTAATCATGTTTTCTACATAAAACTAGGGGGTGCTTACCATTTTCTGACAGAGTGTATCTGACCTTAATGACACTTTTTTCCTTCTCAGAAGAAAAGAAGGAAAATCATTGCAATATTTATCATTGCAAAATTGTCATTTAATTGGAGGGGCCATTCAAATGGAGGGGCCATTCAATTAGAATAAATACGGTATATTATAGTAGTTTTTCTTATAAATTTTTACTTGAGGCATTCACACATTCCAGCTTTACAACTATATTTATCAGCAGTAGAGCATTCAGAATACATCATCCCACAATTTGTTTCGTTTCTAAATACCTTTGCAGGAGATGTAGACTTACATTTTTGCAAAATTACTAACGAGATTTTACAAATTCTGAGGTCTCGAAAACACCTTTTATTAATTAATTAATTAAATTTATTCTATGTATAGCTACTAATTATTTACTTGCATTGATAAAAGTCAAAATTTTCATTTAATTCAAATGTTTGGTCACATTGTTCCAAAGTTGGATAATCCTTCATATAATAATAATAAATGAACAAATGTATTATTAAGCATATTATTAAGCAAAACATTAGTAGGCAAAACATGCAGGCGTTTGCAATTAGATCAGACATACTTGTAGTCTTTGCTGTCATTATTTGTTAATGGGGTTGTTGCTGTTATAATAGAATTAGTTATTTGTTTGTTGTTGCTTCTTAGTTTCTTGCTCAATTTCGTAAGATTGATTAAGAGGAGTTTGCGGGGTAGGTTCAATTTCAGGGTCAATTTTGGTTCCTTTTTAATTTGAATTTATTCAAAATGTGAATTTATTAAGAAATTTAGTCTTGGATTTTAGGAAAATTTTTGTATGTAATAATTATGGTTGATTATTTTTTAAAGTGGACTTGAATATTTAAGAATAATAAAAAATTGAAACAGTAAACTGATTCGATTTTAAGTTATTGGAAAACTTCAATCGATTTGACAAGAAATTCAGAAACTCTATCTCGAAATATCAAAAATAAAGAAAAAATCTCGATAATCTCTCTCATTTATCATTTTGTAACAAATTAAATAATTAATGAATTTGTTTATTATAATATTTTAAATTTTCAAAAAATTATTTAAAAATAATTTGACAAAAAAATAATTCTATTTATCAAACAAAGGAAATTAATTAAAAGTACATTAATTGTTGCGTAACATAAAACAATCTTGTTTGATTTTAAATTCTTACTAATTCTGAAAAATAATATTTTTGAAATTAAAAGTGGCCGGAAGTAGAATCGAAAAATCAATTATGAAGGTTGCCGAGATTAAAATTTTAAAGGCAAACTCCATAGTTTCTTTATTTTAATTGATTCGTCTCATGCCTAATCCTCTTTTTTCAATTCAGTAGGATTTTCACCAAAATTTCCTTCAATAAATCCTCTAAACCCAGCAATAACTCCTATTGAACGTGCTTCTTAAAAAATTTTCTTAAAGAAATATTTTTAATTTCTCACTTTTAGTTGTTAATGATGTAGTCATTGATGTACATTTACGTTGAGAAAAACAGTCAATCATTGTTCTTAATTTTATTATGTGTAAGTTATGTTTCTCTTGGTATTCGTGACTTATATTTCTCAATATCTATACAAGACCATGAATTTTAGTTAGCAAATTCTATACTAAACCGAACTAGACCGTCTTTTGTTTTTTAATATATCAAGTCAGGCCTCACTTTTACATACACTATTGGAGCTTGAATTTCTTGCCCATTCTATGAGCTAGAAATTTTTAAAAATTGATTTGTGTTTTTTATTATTTCTGAATCTTGCGTTCATTAGTTAATTAAGGAATAACCAGATAATTTTTTAAAGCCTGGAATTTGATAAGAAAAATCTGCGGAAAAGTAGTCCTCCCTCCCCTCTCACATTTTTAAAATTTTTTTACTTTAGGCATTCACACATTCCATCTTTACAGCTATATTTATCAGCTAAAGAGCATTCAGAATACATCATTTCACAATTTGTTTCGTTTCTAAATACTTTTGCAGGCGAGGTATCATTACAGGTATGTAAAATTGCTAACGAGATTTTACAAACTCTGAGGTCTTGAAAACACCTTTATTTTAAGAAATTAATTAAATATCTTCAACATTTAATTCACTTGCATTCATAAAAATTATATTTCTCATTTGATTCGAATACTTGATTACACTCCTCCACAGTTGAGGAATCACAAAATGATATAAAATAAATAAATAAAAATATTGTTAACATAAACATTGTTTTTCTAAAAAATACATATAAAATTGGTTCAAATTTTGAATTAAATTTTAGTAAAATTAATACTGTCGTACCTCATTTTTCATCACAGAATTATACACATCAACCAAAAATAGACTTTTTAAATTTGTTTGGTTACTGGCTATTTGAACTGCTTCGAGATACCTCCATTTTAACAATATTTTATTGTAAGTAGGGATGGGATTTATATGGACTATCAATCGAAAAATATGGACTGAAATACATATAATCTAAAATCCAAAATATGGATCAAACATGGACCAAAAAATGAAAATTTTTAATCGAAAAATTTTCATTTTTAAGCAGAAAATGATAAATAAGTTAGTTAAAATTTTTGGCAAAATTTTACAAAGAATGACGAAATATGGATAAAATATGGAAATATGGACGGAACGCCTAAATAAAAAAAAATATGGAAAATATGGATTGATAACTCAAAAACGGCCTTATCAACATATGCTAAAAACATGTTTTTTGGACGTTTCAGAACCCAACGAGGCCAGGAAAAAAATATGGAAATCCATATAAATCCCATCCCTAATTATAAGGTACGATTTTTATCTATCTAAAAATGAGGGGACATATTTATAATATACCCAGGTATTTTTGTTGAAATAATAAATTACTATTTAATAATCTATTTAAATAAATAGATTATTTATTTATTTTTTGTTAATAAACAAAAAATAATAAAAGTAAAATAACAACTTAAATTAATTAAAAGTACAATTTTTGTGAGGAAATTAAAACCTGTTTTTTATTTTTCAAATTGTTAAAGAAATTAAAAATACTCTTTGAAACGTTTTGTTTATTTTTAGTTTATATTTACACTATTCTAAGAACAAAAATGTTTGGCCAGGGAATCAATTCATGAGAAGCTTTTTTGTTCGCATTACTTTTAATTTGGATAAAGTTAGGCCAAAAAAGTGCCTAAACATTTCTTATCATCCTTTATGCTTAATTAATAAATTCTAAATAAAAATTTTCGATCATTTTTTTTCTATTTTTGAAGATTTTTCTGTCATTTTCTCCTACAAATTGATGAAGCCTAATCTTCTTTTTTCAATTCAGTAAGCTTTACACCAAAATTTTCTTCAATAAGTTTACTAAAATCAGCAATAACTCCAAGTGATCGAGCTTCTTAAATTTTTTGTTTTTTAATAAAATCTGTAACTTATTTCTTACTTTTAGTTGTTACTGGAGTATTCTTCGGTACACATTGAACCAGACAGTCAATCATTGCTCTTAATTTAATTATATTCAAGTCGTGATTTCTCTACGATTCTTACTTGTCCTACTTTGCTCGATCTAAGTACCTAGTAGTATGTAAAAAACTTAGATGGGGGTTTATGAACATATGGAGAAAAGTGAAAGCATTAGTCGCCTATAAGCGGTAAGCGAAAGCCGAGAAGTTTTATTTAAAAATTGTATGTGAGTATGTATTATTATTGGATATATAGAAGGGGTGGAGCTCGTCTCGTATCTTGTATCTCGTGAAATCTCATGCTTTTTATCTTCCTTCCAAATCCCATGATATTCTCCATAATCCCTGATATCTCAATAAATCCCCTTTATCCTCTAAATCTCCATTACCCTTTATAATCACCTGTAATCATAACCCATTCAAACCCTTATATGTATTTTTGGCTTTACAATTTTATGCATGAATAATCTTGAAAAACAATAAATATTTTATATCTCGTATCTCGATCTTTTTTGAGAGATCTCGTATTTTGTGCCACGAGCTCCAACCCTGATATATAGGCAGCAATCTCATTCACTAGTTGGAGCAAATTTAAAAACCTTACTTAGGTTTGGGTGTACGTAATATCGAGTTGAGACTGTGGCTTATCAATTATTTTAGTTATTTGTAGAGATTAAGAATGTCTGTCGGGAATTTGGCCCTCTCCTTTAAAAAATATTTTTACTTTAAACAATCACACAGTTTTGATTTACAACTATTTTCTTCGGCAGTAGAACATTCAGAATATACTCCTTCACAATTTGCTACGCTTTTAAATTCTTTTGGATTATCCGTACATGTTTTTGAATATACTAGAGAATTTTTACAAGGTACGGCATCTGTAATACACTTTCTAGTTAAAAAAATATTTTTGAAAATATTCAATATATTTGATTTACTCGCAGTCTTTAGGATTGTATTTTCCCTTATATGCGTATAGTTGGTTACAATCCTCTACAGTTGAAGAATGACAAAATGATATAAAATAGGTAAACAAAAATATTGTTGGCAATAACATGTTAGTTTTTCTAGAAAATAAAATTTTAAATTGAATTTAGTAAAATTAATAGTTATGAACAGTCGAACATAATTTCTAGTTAGCCACAGAATTAGGTATATCACATTAATTTAAAATACCTTCTCTTAAACTTGGTTGTTCACTCAGTGTTTGAACTAGGGGTTCACGGGGTCTCGCCGAGGTCCTCGCCGATTTTTAAACTCGCGATTATGCTGGTCTCGAAACCGAGTCCGAGGTCCTCGCCAAGAACCCTCATGTTTATAAATCCCTCATTTAAAAAAAATTTTTATACCCCCAAGTGGTATCTAAAAGAACGTTCGTGTGTCGGCAACTTACATTGTCGATATTGCTAAATATATTTTTGATTATGCTGGTCTCGAAACCTTCTCTATTATTGTCGAGTAAACAAAAAAAAGTTTTTAAATTTAAAAATATCAGTCTAAAAAGGGAGATATAAAAAATTAAGAATAATTTAAATTAATTAAAAGTACCCAATTTTATGTGGAAATTAAAACCGGTTTATTTTAAAAAATATTTAAATTCTAAAATTTTGAGCCTTCGAGTGATTAGAGAAAAACTTTGCTCGATTCTCTAAAATAAAATTTAGTTTTAGATCAACAAGTCATTAAAGAATCCCGCAATTTCTCTTCATCATCATCTCGTCAAACCCTATAATTCAACAAAACTTTTATTAAATTTAGTTTAATAATTTGTTTATTATGATATTTTAAGGTAATATAAAAAATATTTTAAAATTTAAAATAATTAAACATTAAATATTTTATCGGTATTAAACAAAAAAATTTTGGTTGTCTAAAAAATTAAATAAGAGTATAATTGAAGAAAAAATAGTGATTAACTAAAAGTGCAACATTTTTTATACAGTTGGAAATTGAAAACAAATTTTAAATTTTTTTATGAAAATATAAAAATATTTTTGATCAACTACAGGAAAAAAACAAATATAATAAAAAATAAGAATAATACGAAATTTCGAAGAATTAAATTATATTACAAAAAAATAAGGCTAAACTACAAAAATACGGCTAACTAAATGCCCAATAAATTCTAAATAAGGATGTTCTTAATTTTCTTATCTTGTTAAGGTATTCACTAAAAATTATGGGCAGTGAAAATCTAATCGTCTTCTTTCAATTCAATAGGATTTTCATTAAAATTTTCTTCAATAGCTCCACTAAAACCAGCAGCAATTCCAATTGAACGAGCTTCTTAAAATTTTTTTGTTTTTAAAAAGAAAATTTAATTTCTCACTTTTATTTGTTACTGAAAGATTTGATAGACATTTATGTTGAGAAAAACAGTCAATCATTGTTCTTAATTTTATTAATTAAAGATTTTTCTTGTGTTTTATTCCCAACTTTCCCCAAAACTTATACCAGGTCCAGGAATTTTTTAAAAAATCTCAGGCTAGACCAACTCAAATTTCTTTAATTTAATATGGATGATGGGATGAAAATTATTTTTTAACGCTAATAGGATGGTAATGTATATAAAATCGAGTGTCTAGTAGAGAAATTTAAACAGCTCTTCCATACACTGGTAGAGCAACCTAAAAAAGGATTACAAGGGTATTTGAAGAGCCACTACAGACTAGCAAGGGTCATAGCGAAATAGGAATTTTGGTTTGGTGGGTAAGAGCGCTTAAAAATGGGGTCGCGGGGTAAAATGGGGTCGCAATGGGGTAAAAATGGGGTAAAATGGGGTCGCGGGTTCGATCCCAACGGTTGAAAAATGATTTGATTTCAATGAAAAAAAGTTTAAAAATATTAAATTAACAATTTTCAATGATATTTTAAATCATAAAATTTTTTAATATTTATTTTGAATAAAAAATGATTTTTAATTTTAAAAACTTAAACGCCTCTGCCTAATTTGAATGTTTTCTTGCGTATTTTCTGTTCTGCCTTTATCGTGCAAACAATTTGACATCCATTGATGCCTAAACAATTTCTCCGCTGACAAAACATCATCCCCAACATTTTCATAACGTGGTGCCTAAAATTGTTTTTAAAGATATTTTCAAAAATAAAAAATCTTACTAATCTATTGAAAACGCCGTGAAGACTCTCTAAACCTTGTTCATTTACCAGAGACCACCATCCATTTCTTCTAGCAAAGTCCACTGTATGAGCAGCCAGCAAGTGAAGTTTCGGAAACATCTAAGAATAAATAGAAAATTTTAAACAATTTAATTTAAAATGAACCTGTCCTGCTTTTGCATATTTTTTGAGATTTCTCCAACAAATGACAACCTGAGTAACACGTTCCTTGAAAATATTGATATCATTCACAAATCCAATTCTGCTTTGTTTGTGCATTAGTTGAAGAGCTGAAAAAAATTCATTCATTCTCGTCCTTGTTTCCATTTCTGAGATAAAGCTGCACAATTCATCAATATTTGCATCTTGCACAAGTTTATGTATATCACCACCTTTCAATAATTTATTTAGTTATTAAACATAATTTAAAAAAAACCTCTAAATTGTTTAGTGTGTTTGTCTCGCTTACAATGTAAAAAACGCAATTTTTCTTCAAGTTGTGCTCTGTTTCCAGATTGATCTGCAAAGTGTACAAGGAGTTCAACAGCTCTGGAGGTGATCCCATGTAAAAGATGAAAAGCGGGAGGAATAATTTCTGATGGTTCAATAGGCAACAGGGGTTTACGTGTGAATGATTTCTCATTTGGAATGATTCCATCCAAAGTTCTTTTCGGCCCCATCTCTTCGCATAATTCAGTTTTCGTTGATTCACAGATTGGGCATGGATATCTGGAAGCAGATCCCTGATGCCCCATGAAAGACCCAATAAACTTGACGTCACCAGTTAACATCCTTAATTAAAAATAAGCCAAAAAATATAAATGCTAAACCATTGAATTTCCGATGTCATTTCTTTACCATTCAGAACTTTTTTTCCTCTCCAACTTTTTTCCTCTTTTCTCATCAATTTTTTTCCGTGATTCACTAGTAAAAGGCATTTTTCTACCTGATTTATTCGGCCATTCATAACTTTTTTAAGATATTCAAAAAATCTATAAATATGGTTTTAAAACAAAGATAAGACTCTCATTCATTATTTAAAATAAGCAAAATTAAAAAAAATAAGATTCTCGAAAGATAAAGATTCTCGAAGTTGACATGTTCAAGCAAACAAATTTTATCTCAAATATTTAACGAAATAACACGCGAAAAAAATAGAGCGACAAAGAAAAAGAGATAAATTTAGCTCTTTTTTAATTGGTTGGCGTTCTGCCCCAATAAATGACATTTGTTTCGCTAGCGCCCTTGCTAGTCTGCTGTGAAGAGCAGGTTATACTTTTGGAGGGGATTTGGACCTCTCCTTTAAAAAATATTTTTACTTAAAGCATTCACACATTCCAGCTTTACAACTATTTTCTTCGGCAGTAGAACATTCAGAATACATCATTTCACAATTTGTTTTGTTTTTAAATACATTATCAGGCGTTGCATCCTTAGGACATGTTTGTGAAGCTATTAGAGAATTTTTGCAAGCTCTGAGGTCTTTAAAACACCTTTTTTAAAATAAATATTATTTAATATATATTCAATATATTTGATCTACTCGCAGCCATATCTGAATTTTTCATCTGATCCAAATACTTGTTTACATTTCACTACATCGACCGTTGATGAATCACAAAGTGATATAAGATAAGTAAACAAAAATATTGTTAACATAAACATTGTTTTTCTAAAAAATTAAAATTTTAGAAAAATTATAATTATGTGGAGTAGAATCTCATTCGTAGATACACCCAGAGGCGGGTCGGAACAGTCAGAGGTGACGGAAATCGGAAGAGGTGGAAATCGGAACTGACTCAAACATCGGAACTCGTAAATAGAAATTTTTTTCGGAACTCGGAAGGAAAAAACCGTCGGAAATCGGAATTCCGACCTAACTCTGCATCCACAGAATTATAACACATCAGTTTAAAATACATTCTCTAAAACTTATTTGTTCCATTAGCGTTTGAAATGTCTAAGAGATACCTCATTTTTATGTTATCCCTTATTATATAATAGAATTTCACATTCCGAAGGGGGAAACTAAAATGAGTTTTGAATGAATATAAATCAAAAAAATGTAAACTTAATGAATTATTTACGTAAATTACCTATACTTATATATGTATTATAAAATTTTTAGATCTTTTGTTAAACAAAGTTTGTATTTAAACAAAAAATTGTCTGTTTAAAAAAATAATAAAAATAAATGATAATTTAAATTAATTACTAACAGTACAAATTTAGGTGGAAATCAAAACCTGTTTATTATTTACATTTTAGATTTTAAAAAATAATAAACAGATTTTAAAATTTGGTGAATTACATTATGATCCTTGAATTATTATGTAATGATTTGATAAATGTTTTGAACTTCTAACACAGGCCTAAACTCTTAACTGCCAGATTATCATATCAGATAGTGATTTAAAACTAGGATTTAAATAAGTGAAAAATAAAGTGATTGTGATTGTCCAAGCATATTTTTTATTATTTCTTTTTTAATAAATCCGAATTTCTTCAAATTGTGGATTTTTAAGTTTAATTTCTGAGTTACGAAATTTTTTTTCGATCTTCTACATCCAAGTTTCTCATATCTGCATAAATTTCATGTTTGTTCAATCATATTAATAAGATACTCTACAGTATTTTTACTATATTAACTAGGGTTGTTGGCGACCGGTTATTAACTGGTACTAGGGTTGTACCCCGAACGCTCGGGGGCGGGTATGTCGGGGTACGGGGTTTTCCAATTGTTTCGGGGCGGGGTTCGGGTCGGGGGAGCAAAATATGGCCGGGGTTCGGGTCGGGGTACGGGGGTTTAGTGGAAAAATTTTTAGAGAAAAAAATGCTCAAAAATAATTAGAAATCGATATATTTTCGTTGATTTATTCAAAAATTATGTAGGATTTGAAGAAATTAGAGGGGATTTGAAGGGATTAGAGTGTATAACTTGGGATATAAGTGGATCTAGAGGGATTAAGTGGGATTTTTAGGGATTAAATGGTATATCTAGGGATACAAGGTGATCTGGAGTGATTTTTGTTGGTTCAAGGAATATTTGTAATTTATAAGGATATTGATGTATTGCGGATAAGGGTATTTGGACGGATATCAGGAGATATCTTCGATTAATCCTTAAATTTCCCACGAAATCCTTGTTAATTCCGTTAAATTCACGTAATCCTTTCAAATCCGTTTTAATCTAAACCTTATATCCCTTCAAATCCATTTATAACTTCTTAATTCTTCGATATCCTACAAATCCGTTTATATCTCTGATTCCCGTTAACAGGACCTCGATAGTTTTCCAACTGTTATGGTTGAGAACTGGTAAAAAAAGGGAAAGATCAAGGTGGTTCAAGGGGGAAAGATTAAGGGTGGTTCAAGGGATATCAGTTAAAAATAAAATTAATATTTTCAAATTAAAATTTAACTCGTCAATAATTTGTTTTTGTAAAAAATATAAAAACAGAGTTTTCTTTATATGGATCCGAACCCAATCATATATTCAGAAAATATCGCTAAAACCAACGACTAAGCCACTCAACCACAAGTCTTATAATAAAAAAGGAAAGAAAATTATGATATTTCATTCATTTTTCTTTCAAAAATAATAAAAGCAAAGTAAAATGGGTGGAAATTTTTTAAATTTTCTTCATTAATTTCTCCAAAAAATGACATTTTTAGGGGTATAAAACCCCGATAACCCCGAAACTTTTTGGGCCGGGGAACGGGGTTTTCACTTTTTTTCGGGGCGGGGTTCGGGTCGGGGAGAATCGTGAAAAAATCGTTCGGGAACGGGGTCGGGGTTCGGGGTACGGGGTCGGGGTACAACTCTAACTGGTACCCTCGGTTTTCGGTTATCGCCGGTTTTCGACCCCCGGTTTTCGGTTCCGGTTAATTCTCCAAAAACACCGGTTAACGGTTCTGATTCGGTTAACCGTCCGCCAACAACCCTAATATTAACTAGAAAAATTTAGAATACAAACTAGAAACATTTTTCAAACTAAAGCAGTTTCATCGATTTATTTCATATGTTTTTGTGTGCAAACAAAAACTCAGTTAATGGATTGCCCTAAATTTGAATTAAACAAAAAATTATAATTTTGAAATTAAATTGAAGCCCAATTTATTCCACTAAAACAATGTTGTCTTAACAATGCTTACTATTCCTGAGCCCGTACTATAAGAACTTGGTTTGTGGTCATTTAACCGGTTACCGGACCGGTTTATTTAACCGGTTGTGGTCATCTAACCGGTTACCATTATCTATTGATAATGGTATCCAACCTTTGTAAACAGCATCAGAAAAAATTGCTTTGGGTACTGATCAGGGCTGCACGCAATCGAGAAAAAAATTCCGCAACCCGCAATCCGCAACACGCAATTTCTTTTTAAAAATCCGCAAGCGCAATCCGCAACCCGCAATTTCATTTTAAAAATCCGCAAACGCAATCCGCAACTCGCAATTTTGTTTTTAAAATCCGCAAACGCAATCCGCAACTCGCAATTGCAAAAAACCCCGCAATTTACGCAATTTACGCAACTCGCAATCCGCAATTTTTAGAAATGGATTATGAAACTTAATCAATTCAAACTATGGTTAAAATTTTATATGAGATCATTTGCCACGAGTCCGGCAGTAGAATTAGTCGTCGATTAAGTGATATTTGGGGAGTAGGGAGTAAGTTAAACGGATTTGTAGGATATAAGTGATTGATATCGGCCGATAAGAGGTTCTGAATTGATAACGGAGATTTAAGGTATATCAATGGAATGAGGAGGGTTATACGTTTTGTGGGAGTAAGGATGGATAGAATCATATTAGGATCACTAAAGACTAGAATCCGAATCCCCGATATATGTACCATTATAACCTTGATACATCAAAATCCCCAATATCACCCCAAATCTCTATTAATTCATGCAAATTCTCAAAAATACTCTATGCTTCATTTTGTTAACGCCGCAGGCGAAAATTTTGCAATTTCGGAAGCCAAAGAAGACAAATCTCTTCCTTTTCTCAGCGCCGCAGGCGAAAATTTTGGGATTTTTGGTAGGCCAAGGAGCCAGATTTCTTCTTTTCTCAGCGCCGCAGGCGAAAATTTTGGGATTTTTGGTAGGCCAAGGAGCCAGATTTTTCCATTTATCGTTAGGGAAATTTCGAAAAATTGCGTGAAAATTGCGTAAAAATCATAAAAATCCGCAAACGCAATCCGCAACTCGCAATTTCATTTTAAAAATCCGCAAACGCAATCCGCAACTCGCAACTGCAAAAACCCGCGCAATTTACGCAATCCGCAACTCGCAATCCGCAATTGCGTGCAGCCTTGGTACTGATAGACTTAACATAACGGATGAATTGAAGAAAATTGTTTTGACCATAACTTGTTTAAATCTTCTTGGTGAAGCATCGGTCGACTCTTTTCACAAGGCTATAATTGGATGTTTTGTACGTGTGCATGTACCAGGGATTGCAGAACAGTTCAAAGAATAATTTTTTGTAAGAAATTTTAAATAAATTTGAACATTTCCTATTTAGTTTGATCAAATTAAAAATGTTTTTGAGCCAATGATTTTCAACATTTCTGGTTTAATCGGCGCTTTCGACTTGTCAACTTTGGTGATTTTGAAATTGGAAATATTAACGATGATAAGGTCAATGATAGTGATATACGTAAATGGTTATGTTATGTTCAAGCTAAAGTAAAGAAAATTTTTTTATTATAATAAAAAATTTCGGCACTATTTATGCGCTCAATGAACTTTTACGCGTCCATTGATAAGTTTGAGTCAAATAAAAATTTTATGATCCAATCTTAAAGGGGTCAACCCTGAATACCTACTTTACAAGTTTAATAAGGGATCTGAAGGGATTAAGTGTGATAATAAAATATTTGGCGAGATTAATGGGGATGTCGTTTGATTTGTAGGTATTAAAGGGGGATATCGATGGATTAAGTGATATCTGGATATTTGGAGGGATCTCGGTATATATCAATAAAAAGAAACTTTCATCGGACTCGTAAAATTTCATTGGACGCATAAACCAGAATCGCCAAAATTTCTAGGATTGTAAACTTCCATCAATTGAATTTATTAAACAAAAGGAGGCAGGAACTATTACAAATTAAAGAAAATCTTAAACTGCGCAATAAAATTCCAATTTCTCCGAGCAGAGTTATAATTAAACTAGAAAATTTAGGTCTAATCAGATTTTTATTCAATAATACATTAAATTTTAATAATTTGAGCAAGTAAATTTGAAACTGATTCACTTCGCAATTGAGCGAAATTTGATTTTGAATGTCTTCGACTTACTGTGAAGGATGTTTTGCTTGTATTCAGACAATTAGGAAGTCTAAAGTAAATTAATTAAAGTATTTTAATTAAAAAGTTATTCAAGTCGTCAAATTGCCAATATCACATTTGTCCTAATATGAAATGTATCAGAAGTGGAAAAGATTATAAATTAGAGAATGATGTTGTTGTTGATTATCAGGTTATACTTCCCTATTATGGCATAACCTGATCCGAGTTCCGACTTTTGGGAACTCGGATCAGGTGAAGCTTCCAAGAAGAAAGGAGGAATTAAGAAGAAAGTAATTGAAAAGAAGAAAGTAATTAAGAAGAAGAAATTGCAAACGGAAGGATCGACTTCCGATTCGGAAGATGATGGAAAGGATCAACTTCCATCTACTTCCGGTACTTGATTGACTTTTTGGTTTTTAAATAAAAAGAAAATTTTCTTAATTTATTTTGCAATTTATAAATAAATATTTTGATCTACTTTAATTTTTTTTGAATTTTGTTGGTGTTAGTTCCTTATGCATTCTCTACTATTCATTAATCTTAAAATCTTGTCAAATATACTTATTGACAAAATCGAAGTAAATTTTTGTTTGTATTTACTTAAGAAAATTTTTAAAGTTAATTATTCAACTTAATTTAGTTTGCACTATTATCTGCAAAAAATCATTTAAAAATTCCTGTATTATGGTGAAACCGATGCAGAAAATCAATTGTTATTTTTTGATTAGACCGCTTTACAGAATAATTAATTGGAATCACACAATATCTTTTATAATCCCTTCAAATTTGCCTCTCTCAATATAATCGCGAATCCAATAATGTAAAATAACTTTCCTCTTTTCAAATTTCGATGCAAATTTGGAAAATTTGCTGACTTTTTTCATGTGGCATTTTGTCGTCTGGCATTTCCGAAAATCTAGGCTGATTTCCGAGTTCCGACTTTTGAGTCATTTCCGATTTCCGACAGTTCCGATTTTCGGCACCTCCGTCATTTCCAATTCACCTCTGATATGAACGTGCAGTAGAGTATTTTGGAGATGGGGAATTATTGTTTCACCCCATCCCTGGCATGGGGAGGGAGTTAATCGAGTGTCAGTTATTAATCGAGTGAATACGGGAATTTTGTAAAAAATGTATCTAAATTTTTCAATATTTTTAGATTTTCAATTTTTAGTTATAGTAATTTAAAAAATTTTTTTATTATCTTCATTATTCATTTCTTAAGTTAGTTGCACTTTCATCTGCAAGAAATTTTCCAAAAAATTCGTTGAAGCCTACAGCATTATTGGATGCTCGAATATCTAAAAATAAATAATTTTAGAATCCCTTTTTTAAAAATTAATTTACGTTTATTAGTTGTAGGTGAATCACTCAATTTTGCACTATTAGTAACTGGTTTACATTTATTTTGTGATATACAATCAACCATTGTTCTAAAAATTGTTTTTAAAAATATAAAAATCCAATTTGAATACTTGAAACATCCACAAACATTAATTTCACATTCATTTTTCTTCAAAGAACATTGGGAATAAATATCTTTACATGGTCTATCAAAATAATTTTTTGAAGCCATCGTTTCTTTTGTACATTTTCCATAAATTATATTTGAGAAGAGACATGAAGCGAAATCTTGATAACATCTTAAATTGATAAATAAAATTTTGAAATAATTTTTAAAAAATTTTTTGAAAAGCTCTATAATTTGTTAGCAATATTTAAAAATATCCTTCGATGAAAATATCCTTCGATAGCTTTTTTTTCCTACGATGAGCGATTTTCGAAATTTTATAAAACAAAAGTTTTTTGATAATTTAGGTATATTTTCATATCAACTCAGTTTGGTAAAGAAATTTGGGGCATTAATATAATTTTAATAAATGAAAAATGTGCCAGATTGATAGTGGGGTTGACAGATCCGTGCCCGAACATCCGGATATCTGGAAACTTTCAGTTCTAATATTGGTTCAGGCCATCCTGGGATTTCCCTACTTATAAAAAACATTTACTTGCATTCTGCAGGTATATATCTATTCTCTGATTTCATTACAACGTCACATTGTTCAACCGTAGGCGAGGCAAGGATGCTTGGATTAACAAAAATAAATAATAAAAATATTTGTAAGAACATTGAAATATGTATTCCTAGAAATAAATTTTTTATTATTTTATTTCACAATTGAAAAATTAAAGAGTATTCAATTTAATTAAAAAAATTTAAAGTGAAGATATTAATTTTATTTATTAATTATTTACTAATAAATTTTGTTAATCTAATGAAATTTAATAAACAAATAACCAGTTTTTTTTGTTTTTAATATAAAGTGTTCTAAAATTTATTTCAAAAAAATTTAAAAATTTTGATTTAATGTAATTAATTTTTCAGTTTGTTTTGTTATCGATAAGCAAAACGAGGAACAAAAATAAAGACTCATGCGCACTAATATTTTGTGAAAATAGAGAAAATTTTTTATAAAGTTTTGTTTATATTTTTAATCCATCCATCAACTTTCTTAGAATCAAACCGATCATTTTTATCTTCAACAGAAAGATAAACATTTGACCATTCATTTTCTGGATATTTTTCCATAGATTCTACGTTTTTATGACTTTTATCCCAAACAAAATTGTCTGTAGGATGATCTTTTTTCCATCCTTCTTTGCCATATTCAGACTTTAAAAATAAAAATATTATATTATTGTAAGAACAATAAAGATTTTTCCCTGTATAACCGGAAGGTAGTTATTACTTGAGACAGAGATTGACGTATTTCAAAATCTTATTCATCAAAATCTTTTCGGCCGGTAATCCGTATTAAGGTATATTTAAGGTATTCCGAAATTATGGGATACAGTAAATATCGGTGGCAAGGTTATATACATATTTTTGTTTAATTCCTCCAGAGAAATTAGGCATAAAGATGGGTAATTCAATATACATAGGTAGTTAAATAGAAGTTAATTATATGATATCCAAAGTTGGTATTAGGGATGTACTGGGTTGTGAAAAAAATCTAGTTTTAAAATCTTCTTCGGCCGTGGTTCGAATTTAAATGGGTTTGTGTAGCTTAACAAATCCTTGGTTGATATACCAATATTTTGGAATGGAATTTGAGAATAATTTGTAATTAATTGTTTATCAACCTCAACAATTTTATAATAATCACACAAAACATGTAAAAGTCTTCCATGCATTTCTACGGCACAAATTTCCCCAGACAATTTCGGATAAACCCAGCGAATACGCTGTTTTAGTTTTGACTCCGTACGCATTCCACTAAGTGACGAGTTTTCTGTTGAATTTTCTGTTTTATAGACGTAAAAAAGATCAATTCTTATTCCATCCACAAAAACACATAATTCGAAGGAATTTTTTAATCGACCCAAAACCAAAAAAATTTCAAAGATTTTTGAGGTGAGTATTTCACGTAGAAGAGCTCTAAAAAATAGGAGTATTTTTAATTTAAAAATACTCCGTTTTGGGAAATATTTACAAATATTTTCTCGAAATAAAATTAGACAAAAATTTAAATATCCCAAGAATTTTGTAAAAAAATATGTATAAACTCAGAGTGTTCATCACTGAACATTCCAAAATCTGTATCAGTAGTGTGCGGAATTAAGGAACATTCTCTTGCCCAACCTTTAATTTAATTAATAAATATGTAAATATTTTACAGAAGTTGGAAATTGAAAGTATTATCTCGAGAAATGATCATTTGGTTGTTGGTGAGCGGTTTAGAACGTAAAAAAGTGATATTAATTGCCAAAAATTAACCTCTCGCATTTTTAAAACCCCCTCCCCAAAATAAAACGGATATTTAACTAAAGCTCAAAACCGAAAAGCTTGATTTTAAATTTGAATTAACAGATAGATTATTACCAAGCAAAGTTCCCCCCATAAGAAAAGCTGTTGCATTATGTTTGTCTAATAAATTAGAGAATTCAACAAGTCTGTCCAGAAATTTTATGGGAATTTTTCTACTCGTATTTTTGGGTCTTTCAAGTAAAGGTGTACACTCTAAATACTTTCCATTTTTCCAATCTCTTTTAAAAGCTTTCCAATCATCAGGCATTTCAACATTTTCTATATTTGATTGTGAACGATTAAATCTTAAAGAAAAGTTATCTCAAATCTTATACTTAGGTAAAGTATGCTAAACGAAGATCAAATATTTACTACTCGATCGATTCCCTAACACATCTCTAGGATGGGGAATTATTTGATTTTCGAGTTTGTTAACTTGGTTGATATTGAAAATCACTTTAGATGTATTTAGGGGAGGCCTAGTCGGTGAGAGTATTATTGCTGTCTTTAGCGTTTTATGCTTTATAGAAATAACTAATAAAAAGTATCTCCCTTATGTATCAAATCGGGACGAAAATTTTCATTTCAGATGAAGACCCGATACCCCTCCAAATTATTTAACATAATTTAAATATTACACCTTCTAGTTGCAATTAAATCAGTTGAATTGTCTACATTTTTAAAAAGCCAAAAATCTCTACTATTTTCAGAAATATCCAAAGTAAATTTAATTTCAATAAATTCATTTGACATTTGTGGATATCCATCAGGTATTGCTACAGCTATTGGATATTTACAGTCTTTACCCTTATTTTGATTTTCTAAACAGTCAAAATCAACAATTAATGGCTTGATTCTAAATTTAAAATATTTTCAAGGAAAATATTTTCCAAAAACTACCCTGTAGCATAATTAATTTTTGAATATTTTCCTAAATTAGTTCTGTGATAATACCAAAAATTCATTAAGAAGAGAATTACGTTTAAAATAGATAAAGAAATAATAAAAGTATTTTTTGTGTTTAAACGCATCTTTGATTTAAATAATCTATGAAATAAAATCATTTCTAACGTATATAAATTTTAAAAAATTTCAAGGGGAGTTATAATTTCTTAAAACACATTTGAGATATTTTCCAGACCAGCTCATGGATAATGATTTTGGTATCCGTATCCGGATATTTACGGCGGATACAGGATACAGGAAAACCGCAGGCATTTTGATATTATCTGTATCCATGAGCAGGTCTGATATTTTCTATTATTTATTTTCTGGATTGTATGCCCCCTATTTTGTTGTTTTAAATAGTATCCTATATAAATTAGAGTTGCACGAGATCGATATCTCGACCGAGACCGAGACGAGAATCTCGGCCATTTTCCAATCTCGGTCTCGGTTTTGACGAGACGAGACCACCTAACCGAGACGAGATTCTCGGCACTTAATCTCGCCGAGATCCGAGATCAGTATACACCCCCTAAAGATTGACCTTCTTGAGATTTATTTTTATTTTGACAAAATATTTAAAATTTCGCCATTGGTATATTGTTGTGCTCACTTTAATTTAGTTGTCTAGAGAGCGGAGCAGGACAAATAAGCGCGGCCGAATACACATCAATCTTCGCGGAAAAAGTTTTTGCCGCTGCGGGGGAAGCCGGGCATGTCGAGCGGAACGACGGCTGCCGCTTCGCTACGGTCCCCGCGACCATTCCTTACCTGGGACCATTCCTTACCCTATTCTTCGAAATTTCTTAAGGTTATAATCTTTTTCTGAAATTTTTAAAAGTCGGCTATAACTTTCAGAAATTTCGAGTAATAGGGTACGGAATGGTCCCAGATCAAGTGGACGTAGGTCCCGAACATGAAGAACTATTACGGAACCCAACCCTAACCTTGAACACGAAGAAAAATCCAAAATTTGGGGTTTCAGTCCCCAATTGGCCGTCCAAATTCAATTTGGACAAGAATGTAATTTGGACGGTGCATATATACACCGTATTTCTTCTAATAGTGCGACTGTCTCTAATAAACCGACCCCTTCTAATAAACCGACTTGAAAAATAAACCGACTGTCTCTATCAGACCGACCCCTTCTAATTAACAAGTGTCCCCTACCCTTTATACTTAATTCTTTCTGGAGAAATGGTGGAAAAAATTCTAGTTGTAAAGGCAAATATGGATAAACTGTTGCTTGGTCCACCAACTGAAATTGATTCTGATGAAACAGATGATTTTGATGATGATTTAGATGATATTTAATTAATTTAAATGGGTTTTGGTGGATAAAAAGTTTTGAAAAATCTCGGTTTATCTCGGATCTCGATATCGGTCTCGGGTCAAATTTTGCATCTCGGTCTCGGTCTCGGTCATGCGGGTCTCGGTCAATCTCGGTCTCGGATTTTTTCTAAAATCTCGATCTCGTGCAACTCTAATATAAATTTAAAATTAACCGTGCCCTGATTTTTAAGTAATTTACAAGCGATTTTGGTTATTGGTAAAATTCAATTTCGTTCCCCCCTCTTTTTTCCTTTCCAAAAGTATTAAAAATGGTCAGTCAGTCTTAGGTTATAGAACTCGTCGAGCTTTGTCGAATGACACCAAAATTAACGTGATTTGACAAGATTTGACAAAGTTATGACATAAGTCGCCGACTCCGTTAGGTCTACTTCATGTCATAACTTTGGTGTACCATGTCTAATCGTGTTAATTTTAGTGTCATCCGACTCAGCTCGACGAGTTCTATAACCTAAGACTGACTGACCATTTTT